TTTAAATTTTATTTATTTATTTTCTGAATTAAAGCTCTCGTGTGATCGTGACATATGTTTGTTTGTTTACTTGTTTGGGCGTTTATAGATCCACACAGAGACGTTTGTTCTTCTGCCGTTTTCCCCTCAGGAGGTGCGCGGTTAGATTTCTGTTCAGAAGTGTGACAGTAAAAACAGTAAAAACAGTAAAAACATCTCATGATCCAGGACTAAACAAGAACTCATGTCTCCGCTTCATGAATCTGTGTGAGCTTCTGGTTCCTCGTCTCCACGTTTTTTATTTTATTTTATTTTTATTATTTATTTATTATTATTTATTTATCTATGTATTATTATTATTATTATTATTATTATTATTACTATTATTACTATTATTTATTTATTTATTATTATTATTCTATTATTTATTATTATTTATTTATTATTATTTATTTATCTATGTATTATTATTATTATTATTATTATTATTACTATTATTACTATTATTTATTTATTTATTATGTATTATTCTTATTTATTATTATTATTTATTATTATTTTTGTTTATTTATTTATTTATTTTTGAATTTTTTTTATTTATTTATTTTTTTAAATTTATTATTTATAAAATGACTCCTCTGCGTTTTTAAAGTGCGCGCGTGTGCTGTAGCTGGAGTCCCGGCGCCCCCTGCAGGTCGGACCAGACGCGTGACCCGAGTCCGGAGTCTCCCCGGACCATCTGAAATGAAATAAACCACATAAACGAAATTATTTTATTTTATTTTTATTTATTATTATTTCTTATTTATTTATTATTATTTATTTATTTATTATTATTATTATTTATTATTATTATTTATTTATTTATTATTATGTATGTATTATTTATTTATTATTTTATTTACTATTTATTTGTTTATAATTTTTATTTATTATTTATTTATTTATTTATAATTTATGTATTATTATTATTTATTATTATTATTATTTATTTATTATTTTTATTATTATTATTATTTATTATTTATTTATTTTATTTATTTATTTATTATTTTATTTTTATTTTTTATTTATTATTTTTAAAACAACTCCTCTGCGTTTTTAAAGTGCGCGTGTGTGCTGTAGCTGGAGTCCCGGCGCCCCCTGCAGGTCGGACCAGACGCGTGACCCGAGTCCGGCGTCTCCCCGGACCATCTGAAATGAAATAAACCACATAAACGAAACGAAAAAGTGTAAAAACCTGGAGCGGCTCCCCCCTTCTCCTCTCTCGCTCTTTCATTCACTCCTTTTATTCTTTCTCTCCGCTCCTCTGTTTTCTCACTCTCTGCATATTTCTCTCTCTCCCTCCTCTTTCACCCTCTTCTTTCTCTTCCCTCTCCTCCCTCTCTCTTCTTCCCCCTCTCCTTGTCTACTTCTCTTCCTCTTCCCTCCATCTGTTTTCCTCCTTCTTTTCTCTTTCCTCTGTCTCTCCTCCTCTCCTCTCCTTCCTCTGTTATTGACTCTAAGTTGAGTCTTATTGCCTCTCTCTCTTCTCCTCCCCCTCTCCTCTTTCTCTTCTTCATTCTTTACCTCCTCTTCCTCCTCTCTCTCTCTCTGTCTTTCCTCTCCTCTCTTCTCTCTCTCTCTCTCTCTCTCTTCTCTCTCTCTCTCTCTCTCTTCTCTCTTCCTCTCCTCTCTCTCTTCTCTCTCTTCTCTCTCTTCTCTCTCTCTCTCTCTCCTCTCTCCTCTCTCCTCTCTTCTCTCTTCTCTCTTCTCTCTCTCCTCTGTCATTGACTTTTAAATACAGGTCTGTGTTTCAGTAAATCTTGGTTGAACATTCCTTTGGTTTCTGTGCAGTCGCTCAGTCTCTGAATCTCCCTGAAACTCTGAAAGTCTCTGAGTCTGAGTCTCTGAGTCTATGAGTCAGTCCCCGAGTCCCAGAGTCTCCCCCCCCCCCCCCGAGTCCCAGAGTCCCAGAGCGAGTCCAAGTCCCAGAGTCCCAGAGTCCCAGAGCGAGTCCGAGTCCCCAGAGTCCCCCCGAGTCCAGAGAGTCGTCCGAGTCTCAGAGTCCCAGAGCGTCCGAGTCCCAGAGTCCCAGAGTCCCAGAGCGTCCGAGTCTCCGAGAGTCCCAGAGTCTCCAGAGAGCGAGTCCGAGTCTCCGAGTCCCAGTCCAGAGTCTCTTCCCAGAGAGTCTCCGAGAGAGAGAGTCCGAGTCCCAGAAAGTCCCAGAGAGCGTCCTCCCAGAGTCGTCTCAAATCAAATCAGATTTTCTCCGCTCGTTCTCATGAACTTTAAAGGCGACATTATTTTAAATCTACTGTTTGTTTTTTATTTTGTTTTTGTCTTTCTCTCACGTCTCTGTGTCATTTGTCTCCTTCCTCCACTTCAAACTCCCCTAGACTCGACCAGTCTGAACCAGTTTTGTTCATCATTTCATCTTAAATTAACTCAACTAAAGTGTAAAAATAAAACAATTCTGTGTGTTGTTGAGTTAAATCAGAATAAATCTACAGAGTTTTATCCATTTAATCTCAAAACGTGAATATAACTCTCCACAAACACACAAAAACATGAGACAAAACTGAACTTTTTACACCCGGGGTCTGACTCTGTGTCTCAGCTGTCGTGTCCGGGCTCGAGTGGCGCTCTGAGCCCCCTGCTGGTCGCTCCGGGGGACTTCAGCTCTCCGGCCTCGTCCTCCGTGTGTCTGGACAGTTCTGCGGCGAGACACAGACTGGAGCTGAGGCAGAAGGGCAGGAGGAGGAGGAGGAAGAGGCCGGCAAAGGTCAGGAACAACTTTAACAAAACAAAAAAACAAAAAAACTGAACGGAAACGAGACAGAATTAAAGTGTTTTTTTTTTATATCAGATGTTTTGTGTTTGTGTTTGTGTCAGAGACCTGAGCTGGGACCTGATCCGGGACCTGATCCGGGGTCTGGAGCAGAGTCTCTCCTGGAGGACTCTCTGAACATCTCCACAGCAGAAGAGAGAGAAGAGACAGAGGAGACAGGAGAAGGTAAAAAAGACGATGTAAACTCTTTAAACAACTTTATTCTGAAGTAAGTGTTTGGTTTATTCTAATTTTAAAGCCGAATTAATTTATTCCTGGATCATTTAAACGTTTATTGTAAAACATTATTTATCCAGGACTAAAACAGGACTAAACCAGGACTAAACCAGGACTAAACCAGGACTAAACCAGGACTAAACCAGGACTGAACCAGGACTAAACCAGGACTAAACCAGGACTAAACCAGGACTAAACCTGGACTAAACCAGGACTAAAACAAGTCTAAAACAGGACTAAAACCTGGACTAAATCAGGACTAAACCAGAACTAAACCAGAACTAAATCAGGACTAAAACAGGACTAAACCAGGACTAAACCAGGACTAAAACAGGACTAAACCAGGACTAAACCAGGACTAAACCAGAACTAAATCAGGACTAAACCAGGACTAAACAGGACTAAACCAGAACTAAACCAGGACTAAACCAGGACTAAACCAGGACTAAACCAGGACTAAACCAGAACTAAATCAGGACTAAACCAGGACTAAAACAGGACTAAACCAGGACTAAACCAGGACTAAAACAGGACTAAACCAGGACTAAACCAGGACTAAACCAGAACTAAATCAGGACTAAAAACTAAACAGGACTAAAAAACCAGGACTAAAACAGGACTAAAACAGGACTAAACCAGGACTAAAACAGGACTAAACCAGGACTAAAACAGGACTAAACCAGGACTAAACCTGGACTGAACCAGGACTAAAATCTGGACTAAAAGCAGATCTAAAACAGGACTAAACCAGGACTAAACCAGGACTAAACCAGGACTAAACCAGGACTAAAACAGGACTAAACCTGGACTGAACCAGGACTAAAATCTGGACTAAAAGCAGATCTAGAACAGGACTAAAACAGCTCTAAACCAGGACTAAACCAGGACTGAAACTAAATCTCTCTGGTGTTTTTCAGACGAGGAGCTCAAACCTGAAGACGTCCAAATCCAGACCGACATAAAAGTCCTGGAAGATTCAGAAAACAGAGACGAGACCGAGGACGAGACCGAGATCAAGACCGAGGACGAGACCGAGGACGGGACCGAGATCAAGACCGAGGACGGGACCGAGATCAAGACCGAGGACGGGACCGAGATCAAGACCGAGGACGGGACCGAGATCAAGACCGAGATCAAGACCGAGGACGGGACCGAGATCAAGACCGAGACGGGACCGAGATCAAGACCGAGGACGAGACCGAGGAGGAGGACGAGTCTGGAGGAGAGGAGACTTCAGCTGAACCCTGTGTCAAGAGTCCAGACCAAAACCTGGATCAAGACCAAGACCGAGACCGAGACCAAGAGGACGGGGACAGTCCCAGGTGAGGAACGTTTTAACTTCAAATAAGAAATATCTAATTGAGTCCAGGTTTAGTCCTTGTATAGTCCCTGTTTAAATCCTGGTTTAGTTCTGATTTAGTCCTGGTTTAGTGCTGTTTTAGTCCCATTTAAATCCTGGTTTAGTCCAAATTTAGTCCTGGTTTTGTCCTGGTTTAGTCCCAGTTTAGTCCTGTTTTAGTCCTGGTTTAATCCTAGTTTAGTCCAAATTTAGTCCTGGTTTAGTCCTGTTTTAGTCCTAGTTTAGTCCTGGTTTAGTCCTGTTTTAGTCCTAGTTTAGTCCTGTTTTAGTCCTGTTTTAGTCCTGGTTTAGTCCTGTTTTAGTCCTGTTTAGTCCTGTTTTTAGTCCTGTTTAGTCCTGTTTTAGTCCTAGTTTAGTTCTGGTTTAGTCCTGTTTTAGTCCTGGTTTAGTCCTGTTTTAGTCTTGTTTTAGTCCTGTTTTAGTCCATGTTTAGTCCTGTTTTAGTCCATGTTTAGTCCTGTTTTAGTCCATGTTTAGTCCTGTTTTAGTCCATGTTTAGTCCTGTTTTAGTCCATGTTTAGTCCTGTTTAGTACATGTTTAGTCCTGTTTTAGTCCTGTTTTAGTCCTGGTTTAGTCCTGGTTTAGTCCTGTTTAGTCCTGGTTTAGTCCTGTTTTAGTCCTGTTTAGTCCTGTTTAGTCCATGTTAGTCCTTTTTAGTCCTGTTGTTTTAGTCCTGTTTAGTCCTGTTTTAGTCCTGTTTAGTCCTGTTTTAGTCCTGTTTTAGTCCTGTTAGTCCTGTTTTAGTCCTGGTTTAGTCCTGTTTTAGTCCTGGTTTAGTCCTGTTTTAGTCCTGGTTTAGTCCTGGTTTAGTCCTGATACTACCGCACGTTTTGTTTATGCGTCGTTTTCTTTTTATTTATTTACATTTATTTATTTTTCTTTATTTTTATTTTTTTAAATGTTTTTGTGTGTGTTGTTGCTCAGCTCGTCTCCGGCGCCCTCTGCTGGTGACACGGAGAACCTGCGGGACACGAACAAACTCCACCTGTCGGACTCGTCCCTGGAGGAGAAACTACGAGACGATCCGAGCGACGACGGAGACGAGGAGCGGAAAACCGACGAGAGAGACGAGAAAGAAGAAGAGGAAGAGGAGGAAGAGGAGGAAGAGAGAGAGAAAGAGGAGGAGGAGGAGGAGGAGGAGGAGGAGGAGGAGGAGGAGGAGGAGGAGGAGGAGGAGGAGGAGAGCTCTCTGCTTCAGGAAGTCCTCAGCTCCTTGAAAACTCCACTGAGCGCTCTGGATGTAATACACACAGATCACCAGCAGAGGGAGACAGAGGAGGTGAGAAGGACTGAACCAGGACTAAAACAGGACTGAACCAGGACTAAACCAGGACTAAAACAGGACTAAACCAGGACTAAACCAGGACTAAAACAGGACTAAAACAGGACTAAACAGGACTAAAACAGGACTGAAAACCAGGACTAAAACCAGGAGTAAAACAGGAGTAAACAGGACTAAACCAGGACTAAAACAGGACTAAAACAGGACTAAAACAGGTCTAAAACTGGACTAAACCAGGACTAAAACAGGACTAAACCAGGACTAAACCAGGACTAAAACAGGTCTAAAACAGGAGTAAAACAGGACTAAACCAGGACTAAATCAAGACTAAACCAGGACTAAAACAGGTCTAAAACAGGACTAAAACAGGACTAAACCAGGACTAAATCAAGACTAAACCAGGACTAAAACAGGTCTAAAACAGGACTAAAACAGGACTAAAACAGGTAAAAAAACAGGTCTAAAACTGGTCTAAAACAGGACTAAACCAGGACTAAAATCAAGACTAAAACAGGACTAAAACAGGACTAAATCAGGACTAAAACCAGGACTAAATCAGGACTAAAACAAGTCTAAAACAGGTCTAAAACAGGTCTAAACCAGGACTAAAATCAGGACTAAACCAGGACTAAAATCAAGACTAAACCAGGACTAAAACAGGTCTAAAACAGGACTAAAACAGGACTAAATCAAGACTAAACCAGGACTAAAACAGGTCTAAAACAGGACTAAACCAGGACTAAACCAGGACTAAACCAAGACTAAAACAGGACTAAAACAGGTCTAAAACTGGTCTAAAACTGGACTAAACCAGGACTAAAACAGGACTAAAACAGGACTAAAACAGGACTAAATCAAGACTAAACCAGGACTAAAACAGGTCTAAAACAGGTCTAAAACAGGTCTAAAACAGGACTAAACCAGGACTAAACCAGGACTAAATCAAGACTAAACCAGGACTAAAACAAGTCTAAAACAGGTGTAAAACAGGACTAAACCAGGACTAAATCAGGACTAAATCAGGACTAAAACAGGACTAAACCAGGACTAAACCAGGACTAAAACAGGTCTAAAGCTGGACCAAAACAGGACTAAAACAGGACTAAATCAAGACTAAACCAGGACTAAAACAGGTCTAAAACTGGTCTAAAACTGGACTAAAACAGGATTTAACCAGTATTAAACCAGAACTATAACATTATTTCACCAGGACTAAACCAAGTCGAATAAAAATAATTTAATTCAGAATAAAAAATAGTTAATTTCTCTTTCAAAATGACAAAATGTAAACACTTAATTCTTAACGAAACTACGGCCGCCGTCGCTTTGTCACGGTACGTTGTTGTTCCCTTTGGTAAACCCCGACCTGTTCTCAGATGGAGGAAGAGGAGGAGGAGGAAGAGGAGCTCCTGGTCACACCGCAGACGACTGAACATGTCCAAGAAGAAGGACGTAAACGGGAAGCGGAGAGCGAGGAACAGGAAGTGGGCGTGTCCTCGTACAGAGACGCAGAGGAGGAGGAGCCGAAGAGCAGAGAGGAAGAGTCAGAGGAGGAGCCACAGGTGGAGATCTTCAGCCCCAGACAGGTGAGAGGAGGGGAGAAGGTTCATTTTTTATTATTATGTAAAAAAAAAAAGTTCGTCAAAACCTTGTGTGTTCTTCTTCTCTCGTCCACTGCTCCCGCGCAGCTAAACGCACTTTCACTTTACAACCGCCTTGAGTTTAAAGTTTGCGTTGTGAGCGTTTCTCTTGACAGGTGCATTTTGATATTAAAAAGAATCACAGTATGTTTTACTCCTGATGCTCCTGACGACGGGAGCCGTAACGCTGCAAGTGGAGCGGCTTTGTAATTTACTAAAGTCGTACTAAGACGCCCCAATAAATTCATATATAAGGCGTCTGGATTAAAAGGCGCACACTCGTTTTTGATCAGATTAAAGGCTTTTAAGTGCAAGCAGAAGTAAACAGCAAGGCCAAAAATTCAAGTTAATGCATCTGATATAAAAATGTATTGAACAGATACATATGTCTCTAGTTTATCAAACTGTTCACCTTTTTTCTGGACCATTTTTGGTTCTAAAGTTCCATATGTTTTAAACAGACCATGTATGAAACATGGAACAAAAATTATTTCCCAAATTTCAAAGACCCAAAAATCATGTAAATAAATGGATGTATTTCATCATATCTTGTGTTATTCCATCTTTGAACTGTTGATGAAGGGACATGATTTAAAAAAAAAAAGAAGTATTTAAAATGATAAACATTTGCTTGGAAGAACTGACATATGGTAAATGGTCACGTTTTTCTACAGCACTTTTCCACCTTCGAGGCACAACCACTCACACATTCACACACACATTCACACACCAGTGTACGCAGACACTGTGGGCAAGGTGGGTTAAGTGTCTTGCCCAAGGACACAACGGCAGCATTCATCTGTGGGAGCTGGAATCACACCAGCTCAACCTGTGGGTCAGTGGATCTGAACCACCAACCTTCAGATCAGCTACTACCGCCCGACATATTTTATAGAAATAGTTTCTTTCATTTTGAAGTAATATTAAAGTTTTCAGAAGAAAAAAGTGACAAATGATGTAAAATCCTGCACCTTCTACTTGTTTGTACAATTTTCCCTCCGTTACTTTTCCCTCCGTTACCATGAACTTTCTTAATAAAAAATCTCATGAGTCAAAAAGTCAGAGGTTTTTCAACCTAATCTTGTACCATATGGTAGAAAACTATATGAAGCAAATATTCAAACCAGTTTGTTAAGGATATGGAAGTGAGAACCAAGAGTTATCACTGTTTGGATTTATTGACCAAAAAGTGCTGCATATTTCATTCCCTCCGTTACCGACATGAGTTTTTACATTTTTTGTGAACAACTTGTAGAATCTCACAGGTTTAACTTGACCCTGTTGGAGTGTAACTCTTTCCTACATTCTGATACTTTACTTATTTCAATAGTTCCTCTAGTTTAGACATTTGAATGTCAAAAATCTGACCCTGTTTCCCTCCGTTAACACTTGACCGGACCCCCCCACAGTGCAGAAAATACGGTACATTACATTTCCGTCTCTGGAGCCGTTTTCCATCGGATTAGTTTGGATGAACACTGCACCCACGACCAAAACGACTCCAATACTGCAGCCTAATGCTTCGTCGTTATTCTTTAGGTTTTCGTCTTTCTTCCCTTGATAGTTGAAGAATGTTTATCCTTTGTGGATCTTGTTGGTTGAAGATTTGGTGATGGGGCAGATTTATGAAGCTGCTGGGGAATACGGACGTTCCACAAATCTACAGCGCGACACTTTAATGACGTCGTTGCGCTGGTGTCTTTATTCTATTTAGTTTACATTTTCAAACATCACTTTCATACGTTTATCACTAATGTACAGTTTTATTCTTTGTCTTTTCCAGGTTGTTTCTGAAACCGAGCCACGCGATTTCCAGAAGATCCACCACGGCGTCGGCGTCACTTTACCTTCATCGCCTTCAGACAGTGAGGAAGACGACGAGGAAGAGACACGGGAGGGTTTAAAATTAACCCAATGCCGAGAAACTGAAGACGTGGACGCCATTTTGGATCAGATCAAACAGGAAGTGAGCGAGAGCGAAGAGGAAGTCACGGAGCATCAAGACGAACAAGGAACGGGAGATTTCGAGATGGAGACAAACGCAGAAATGGACGAAAGCACCGAAACGAAACCTGAAATCAAGACTCGAGACTCCGTAAAAGTCGTTGAAATCGTGTCTGAAGACGTTTTGGAATTTGAGGGAGAAATTTTGCGAGGTGAAAGCGAAAGTACAGAGACAACAGAAGACGAAAATGACGTGAAAGAAACTGAAATGTCTGAAATGGAGTTGGAACGAGCGAGTATCGAAGAAAACGACGAGAAAGAGGAAGAAACGACGGACAGACACGAAGCAGAAACGACGGAACGCAAACCCTCTCTGAGCAAAACTACGTCTTTGGAGATTAATCTGGTGTCTCCAAATTCAAAGAAAGAATTCAGTTTTCCAAATCCTGAACATTTTAACGAAGAAACCGAAGCGGAAATTTGTGACGAAACTGAAAAACCGGCTTCGGAAATCGCCGGTGTTTCTACGGTTGACGTAAAGGACACGCAAAGCCGAGAAGATCGAAGAGAATTCGAAGACAACGTTGAAATTTTGGACGAAAACGACGAAACGAAAGAAGACGAAGTTATAAAAGTTTCGACGGGCGGCAGTGAAAAGGTCGAAGAGCTGGAAATTATGGGAGAAATCGAAGCGGAAGTAGAAAATTTTGACGAAGAAGGCGGAGATGTTTCGATGGGCGAAGTGGAGGAGGTTCAAGAACGAGAAGAGACAGAAAATAAAACTGAAATTTCGCCAAAAATTCAAGAAGACGGTGAAATTTTGGGTAAAACTGACAAAACACAAAAAGAAAAAAGGGTTACGTTTTCTTTGGAGGAGAAAGAGGAGCCAGAAACGATCGAGGAAAAACCTGAAAATTCCCAAAGCGAAGTTTCCAGACCGGAGCCGAACAGGCCCAAGTTCACGATCGCCGCGGCCTGGCAACGGTCTCACTCCGTCGGGCAGAAGGACGAGCGCGACCCCCCTACGCCTCCGGAGAACCACGAAGACCCAGCGGAGTCCGGACCTGAGCCAGAATCTCAACCAGTCCGAGAGTCCGAGTCCGAGCCAAAGTCCCAGCAACACCCAGAATCCAGAGCGAAACCTTGGCTCGGAGTCCAAGAGTCTCCGCAAATCCAGGAGTCCAGACTGGAACCTGGGTCCGAACTAATCCAAGAGTCCAAGTGTGAACCGGGGATCCAGCAAGACCCAGAAACCAAGTCCAAACCAGAAACCAGGCCTGAGCGTGGGTCCAGAGTCCAAGAGTCTAGACCTACTCCTTGGTGCAAACAAGTCCAGGAGTCCAGACCAGAGCCGAAGACCCAACTAGACCTAGAATCCAGGCTTGAACCGGGGTCGGAGCAAGTCCAGGAGTCCGGGTCTAAACCGGGACCGGAGGAGGAGCCAGAGGAGGGAGCGAGGAGCCCGACCGGAGCGAAGCGTCCCGGGATACACGAGGACAAACCCGGCGAAGGTGAGACTCTGGGCGGGTTTCACGAGGCCAAGTGACAGGTCGGATCTGCGGAGATAGGCCTGTTTTACGGTACACTGCGGAACATTCCAGGCAAAGCAGGAGCATCGCCATGGAGACACTTTGGCGGTCGACCCTCTGCCTGAAAAGTTTCACCTTTAAATCCTGTATCACTAGATCAACCACCTGGTTTAAAGTTCAGATCTTCGTTCAAAAAGGTTCAGGTTTGGGTTAAGTTTAGTTTGGGGTTTAAGTTATGTTAAGTTTAGGGTTTAGGTTAAGTTTATTTTAGTGTTTAGGTTAAGTTTAGTTTAGGGTTTAGGTTAAGTTTAGTTTAGGGTTTAGGTTAAGTTTAGTTTAGGTTTTAGGTTAAGTTAAGTTTAGTGTTTAGGTTAGTTTAGTTTAGGGTTTAGGTTAAGTTTAGTTTAGGTTTTAGGTTAAGTTAAGTTTAGTTTAGTGTTTAGGTTAAGTTTATTTTAGTGTTTAGGTTAAGTTTAGTTTAGGGTTTAGGTTAAGTTTAGTTTAGGGTTTAGGTTAAGTTAAGTTTAGTTTACGATTTAGGTTAGTTAAGTTTAGTTTAGGGTTTAGGTTAAGTTTAGTTTAGGGTTTAGGTTAAGTTTAGTTTAGGTTTTAGGTTAAGTTAAGTTTAGTTTAGTGTTTAGGTTAAGTTTATTTTAGTGTTAAGGTTAAGTTAAGTTTAGGGTTTAGGTTAAGTTAAGTTTAGTGTTTAGGTTAAGTTTAGTTAGGGTTTAGGGTTTAGGTTAAGTTAAGTTTAGGGTTTAGGTTAAGTTTAGTTTAGGGTTTAGTTTAAGTTAGTGTTTAGGTTAAGTTTATTTTAGTGTTTAAGGGTTAAGTTAAGTTTAGTGTTTAGTTAAGTTTAGTTTAGGGTTTAGGTTAAGTTTAGTTTAGGGTTTAGGTTAAGTTTAGTTTAGTGTTTAGGTTAAGTTTAGTTTTAGTGTTTAGGTTAAGTTTAGTTTAGGTTAAGTTTAGTTTAAGTTTAGTAAGTTTAGTTTTAGGTTTAGTTTAGGTTTAAGTTTAGTTTAGGGTTTAGGTTTAGGTTAAGTTTAGTTTAGGTTAGGTTTAAGTTAAGGTTTAAGTTTAGTTTTAGTGTTTAAGTTTTAAGTTTAGGAGTTTAGGTTAAGGTTTAGGTTTAGTTTAGTTTAGTTTAGTTTTAAGTTTAGTTTAGGTTTAGGTTTAAGTTTAAGTTTAGTTTAGGTTAAGTTTAGGTTAGGGTTTAGGTTAGTTTAGTTTAGGTTTTTAGTTTAAGTTTAGTTTTTAGGGTTTAGTTTAGTTAGGTTTAGTTTAGTTTAGGGTTTTAGGTTAAGTTTAGTTTAGTTTAGGTTAAGTTTAGTTTAGTTTAGGTTAGGTTAAGTTTAGTTTTAGGTTTAGGTTAAGTTTAGTTTAGGTTTAGGTTTTAGGTTAGGTTAGTTTAGTTTTAGGTTTAGTTTAGTTTAGTTAAGTTAGTTTAGGGTTTACTGAATGATGTAAACATTAGTTCTTTCCTTCCTTTCCTCAGATCGTCCGTCTGTGTCGGAGGAGATTTCCCAGAATCCTTTTGGGGTGCGTTTGAGGAGGACTCAGGCTCTGCACAGGTTCATCGCAGAAGATCAAAACAAACAGGTGAGTGAAGTTTCATTTTCAGATATTTTAAAGCTGCACTGCGCAACATCACCTGTTCGTCTCCATGGAGATGTTCTGGGTTTCCTGTCGATCCCGGGAGAAAACTAAAGGCAACTACGTAATGAATAAACAGAGAAAAGTTGCACAATGCACCTTTAATAATGAGATTTTTATTGAGTTATAAAATATTACTCATAAAATAATATTACTCAAGTAGAAGTACAAAGTTGTGGTCCAAGTAATGACTCGAGTAAAAGTACTTTTATTTCAATACAAATATTAGGAATAAAAGTATGTGGCTAGAAAAGTACAATTTATAAATATTTAGATCTGGGTGCAAATAGGTTCAGGTTTGGGCTTAGTTAAGTTTAGTTTAGTTTAGTGTTTAGGTTAAGTTTAGTTTAGGATTTAGGTTCAGTTTAGTTTAGTGTTTAGGTTAAGTTAAGTTTAGGATTTAGGTTCAGTTTAGTTTAGGGTTTAGGTTAAGTTAAGTGTTTAGGTTAAGTTTAGTTTAGGATTTAGGTTAAGTTTAAGTTTAGGGTTTAGGTTAAGTTAAGTTAAGGTTTAGGTTAAGTTTAGTTTAGGGTTTAGGTTAAGTTTAGTTTAGTTTAGTGTTTAGGTTAAGTTTAGTTTAGGGTTTAGGTTAAGTTTAGTTTAGTTTAGGTTTAGGTTAAGTTTAGTTTAGGAAGTTTAGGTTAAGTTTAGGGTTTAGGTTAAGTTTAAGTTTAGGGTTTAGTTAAGTTAAGTTAAGTGTTAGGTTAAGTTTAGTTTAGGGTTTAGGTTAAGTTAAGTTTAGTTTAGTGTTAGGTTAAGTTTAGTTTAGGGTTTAGGTTAAGTTAAGTTTAGTTTAGTGTTTAGGTTAAGTTCAGTTAGGATTTAGGTTAGTTTAGTTTAGGGTTTAGGTTAAGTTAAGTTTAGTTTAGTTTAGTTTAGGATTTAGGTTAAGTTTAAGTTTAGGGTTTAGGTTAAGTTAAGTGTTTAGGTTAAGTTTAGTTTAGGGTTTAGGTTAAGTTTAGTTTAGGGTTTTTAGGTTAAGTTTAGTTTAGGATTTAGGTTAAGTTAAGTTTGGGGTTTAGGTTAAGTTAAGTGTTTAGGTTAAGTTTAGTTTAGGATTTAGGTTAAGTTTAGTTTAGGGTTTAGGTTAAGTTAAGTGTTTAGGTTAAGTTTAGTTTAGGATTTAGGTTAAGTTTAGTTTAGGGTTTAGGTTAAGTTTAGTTTAGGGTTAGGTTAAGTTAGTGTTAGGTTAAGTTTAGTTTAGGGTTTAGGTTAAGTTAAGTTAAGTGTTTAGGTTAAGTTTAGTTTAGGATTTAGGTTAAGTTTAGTTTAGGGTTTAGGTTAAGTTTAGTTTAGGATTTAGGTTAAGTTTAGTTTAGGGTTTAGGTTAAGTTATGTGTTTAGGTTAAGTTTAGTTTAGGGTTTAGGTTAAGTTAAGTGTTTAGGTTAAGTTTAGTTTAGGATTTAGGTTAAGTTTAGTTTAGGGTTTAGGTTAAGTTTAGTTTAGGGTTTAGGTTAAGTTTAGTTTAGGGTTTAGGTTAAGTTTAGTTTAGGATTTAGGTTTAGTGTTTAGTTTAGTTTAGGGTTTAGGTTAAGTTTAGTTTAGGGTTTAGGTTAGTTTAGTTTAGGGTTTTTAGGTTAAGTTAGTTTAGGTTAAGTTTAGTTTAGGGTTTAGGTTTAGTTTAGTTTAGTTTAGGGTTTAGGTTTAGTTTAGTTTAGGGTTTAGGTAAAATTAAAATTAAACAAGCACTAATGTAATAAACGGGAAAAACAGATAAATATTTTTATTAAAATTTGATTAATTTGATTTGATTGTTTTTTTGTTTTTTTCTTCCAGTCCGTCCACGAACCTCCCTCCCCCTCGCACAAAGTCGACCCGCCTTCTCCCACAAAGCAACCAATCGGCATCAAGCCCGCGGTGATCAGCCAGCCAATCACGGTCAAGCCCGCCGTCCTGAGCCAGCCAATCACGAACAAGAGCCCGACGTCCAACCCGCCGGTCGCCGCCAAGCCCGTGGTGCCGCGAAAACCCGACGTGGAGGCTAAAAAACGAGTCTCGGGTCGGTTTCACGTCTCCGTCTGTTTCGTTCACGCGTTTGAGTTGAAAGAAAAGTTCCGCAGTGCAGCTTTAAATGTTGAAATTTTTGGTGTTGCAGAAGCGGGAGGAGGGACCGAGGCGCCGAGCTGGATCTCCATGGCCAAACAGAAACAGAAGATTTACAAAGAAAACGTCAAGGTACTTTTAGACCTGGTTTAGACCTGGTTTAGACCTGGTTTAGACCTGGTTTAGACCTGGTTTAGACCTGGTTTAGACCCTGGTTTAGACCTGGTTTAGTCCCTGGTTTAAACCTGGTTTAGTCCCTGGTTTAGTCCCTCATTTAGACCTGGTTTAGACCCTGGTTTAGACCTGGTTTAGTCCTGGTTTAGACCTGGTTTAGACCTGGTTTAGTCCCTCATTTAGACCTGGTTTAGTCCTGGTTTAGACCTGGTTTAGACCTGGTTTAGACCTGGTTTAGTCCCTCATTTAGACCTGGTTTACCCTGGTTTAGACCTGTTTAGACCCTGGTTTAGACTGGTTTAGTCCTCTTTAGACTGTTTAGTCCCTGGTTTAGACCTGGTTTAGTCCTGGTTTAGACTGGTTTAGTCCTGTTTAGTCCTGGTTTAGTCCTGGTTTAGTCCTGGTTTAGACTGGTTTAGACCTGGTTTAGTCCTGGTTTTAGTCCTGGTTTAGACCTGTTTAGTCCCTGGTTTAGACCTGGTTTTAGTCCTGGTTTAGTCCTGGTTTAGTCCCTGGTTTTAGTCCCTGGTTTAGTCCTGGTTTAGACCTGGCTTAGTCCCTGGTTTAGTCCTGGTTTAGACCTGGTTTAGTCCCTGGTTTAGTCCCCTGTTTAGTCCTGTTTAGTCCTGGTTTAGACCTGGTTTAGTCCTGGTTTAGTTGGTTTAGTCCTGGTTTAGTCCCTGGTTTAGTCCTGGTTTAGTCCTGGTTTAGTCCTGGTTTAGTCCTGGTTTAGTCTGGTTTAGTCCTGGTTTAGACCTGGTTTAGTCCTGGTTTACTCCTTATTTAGTCCTGGTTTAGTAATGGTTTGGTCTCAGTTTAATCCTGGTTTAGACCTGGCTTAGTCCCTTGTTTAGACCTGGCTTAGACCTGGTTTAGACCTGGTTTAGTCCCTGGTTTAGACCTGGTTTAGACCTGGTTTAGTCCTGGTTTAGTCCTGGTTTAGTCCTGGTTTAGTCCTGGTTTAGTCCTGGTTTAGTCCTGGTTTAGTCCTGGTTTAGTCCTGGTTTAGTCCTGGTCTGGTCCTGGTTTATTCCTGTTTTAGTTCTGTTTAGTCCTGGTTTAGTCCTGGTTTAGTCCTGGTTTAGTTTCTGGTTTAGTCCTGGTTTAGTCCTGGTTTAGTCCTGGTTTAGTCCTGGTTTAGTTCTGGTTTAGTTCTGGTTTAGTCCTGGTTTTAGTCCTGGTTTAGTCCTGGTTTAGTCCTGGTTTAGTTCTGGTTTAGTCCTGGTTTAGTCCTGGTTTAGTCCTGGTTTAGTCCTGGTTTAGTTCTGGTTTAGTCCTGGTTTAGTCCTGGTTTAGTCCTGGTTTGTGAACAGTTTTGTTTGTTTTCGTTGGCAGGAGGAGCAGGAGAAGAAGAGCCCGGAGCTGAGCAGAGGTGAGTCGGCGTCAGAGGAGGAAACGTCGCCCTCTGGTGGACGTCGGCGGTTCTGCTCTGACCCACAAACCTCTGGATCTGTGTCACTGATTTAAACCTCGTCTGAAACCGAAACTGAAACTGAAACTGGAGCAGGGCCGTTATACAACTCATCATCTGTCAATCAAACACTCACGCTTTTACTTTTTAACTTTTCATATTTTCTGATTTTGGAAGTTAAAATTATGTGAAATCACCGGGATTTTTTAAAATATAGGCTAAATATTATATTATATTTTTGCAAAAACAGAAGATTTACAAAGAAAACATCAAAGTACTGTTAAGACCTGGTTTAGACCTGGTTTAGTCCTGTTTTAGTCCTGGTTTAGTCCTGGTTTAGTTTTTTAGTCCTGTTTTAGTCCTGTTTAGTCCTGTTTTAGTCCTGGTTTAGTCCTTTTTAGGTTAGGTTTAGTCCTGGTTTAGTCCTGGTTTAGTCCTGATTCAGTCCTGGTTTAGTCCTGGTTTCGTTCTGGTTTAGTCCTGGTTTTAGGTCCTGGTTTAGTCCTGGTTTAGTTCTGGTTTAGTCCTGGTTTAGTCCTGGTTTAGTCCTGGTTTAGTCCTGGTTTAGTCCTGGTTTTTGTCCTGGTTTAGTCCTGGTTTAGTTCTGGTTTAGTTCTGGTTTAGTCCTGGTTTAGTTCTGGTTTAATCCTGGTTTAGTCCTGGTTTCGTTCTGGTTCAGTCTTGGTTTAGTTCTGGTTTAGTCCTGGTTTAGTCCTGGTTTAGTTCTGGTTTAGTCCTGGTTTAGTCCTGATTCAGTCCTGTTTTAGTCCTGGTTTAGTCCTGGTTTAGTCCTAGTTTGGTCCTGGTTTAGTCTTGGTTTAGTCTTGGTTTAGTTCTGGTTTAGTCCTGGTTTAATCCTGGTTTAGTCCTGGTTTAGTCCTGGTTTAGTCCTGGTTTAGTCCTGGTTTTAGTCCAGGTTCAGTCTTTCAGTTGGTTTTATCCATACCAAAGCTTTTATACTTTTTACACACTGTTTCTCTTTCAAAAAAAAGTAAAATATTTTGGTTTTAATTGTTAATCTCCACGGCAACGGACCAAAACAGCAACTCAAATTCTAACGTTTTGTTTTTTGTGTTTTTTTTTTTTTCTTTCAGCGATTTCTCTGGACCTCAAACCCGCGGCCGCCGTCCCGCCCGTGCCGCAGAAACCCAGCCACTACACCTGCCCCGCACCCGCCGCCGCACCCGCCCCCGCACCCGCACCCGCACCCGTCTCCAAACCGCCGCCGCAGAAACCCGCCCACTCCTCCGCCTTTTCCTCCTGCCCCGCTCCCGTCCCGGCGAAACCGCTCACGGGCAAACCGCCGCCGCAGAAACCCAGCCACGCCTTCCCCGCCGCACCCGCCACACCCGCCTCACCTGCCCCCGCACCCGCCACACCCGCCCCTGCCCCGTCCTCGAAACCGGCGCCGCCAAAACCCGCCCACGCTCCCGTTTCCTCGCCTTCCCTCGCCTCTCCGTCTTCTCCTCTGTCTGGCGCCCCCTGCAGGCCTTCTTCTTCCTCTTCCTCCTTCTTCTTCTTCTTCTTCTTCTTCCTCCTCCCCTCGCGTCGCTTCGCCGCAGGACGAGCCCCCGTGGATGGCGCTGGCGAAGAAAAAGGCCAAGGCGTGGAGCGAGATGCCTCAGATCGTCCAGTGACAGACTTGAAATTTTCCCCCCCAAAAATTTTTTTTCGAGGAATTTGTTTTATTTTATTTTTTCGGACTTTTGTCTTTTTTTTTTTTCTGCACATATTTTTCGCACGGTGTTTACTCTCGTACGCTCACGGCTCCAGGTATATCCAGATGTTTAAACGGTCGCGTATACGGACGTTAAAGTGAAATGAAATGTGCTCGTGTAAAAAAGAGACTGAGTGTGAGTTTTGGCGCCGCCTTGTGGCCGAACGGCGCATTGCGGTTTTGTTCTTGTTTTGTTTTTTTTGTTTTGTTTTTTGTTTTTTTTTGAGCTGGTTTAAGTTGAGGTACAGACAGGCGGGGTCCTCTTCCTCTTAATTTATATCGAAGAGACGCCCGTGTGTCGTTTTTCTAAATAAAACTAATAAAAATAAAAAAACGGAAAAAAAAAGCAATGATTTTCTTCATTCTTCACCAAAATCAAAAACAGATAACAGACTAAACCAGAACTAAACCAGGACTAAACCAGGACTAAACCAGAACTAAACCAGGACTAAACCAGGACTAAACCAGAACTAAACCAGGACTAAACCAGGACTAAACCAGAACTAAACCACGACTGAACCAGAACTAAACCAGGACTAAACCAGAACTAAACCAGGACTAAACCAGGACTAAACCAGAACTAAACCAGACTAACCAGAACTAAACCAGGACTAAACCAGAACTAAACCAGACTAAACCAGACTAAACCAGACTAAACCAGGACTAAACCAGACTAAACCAGAACCAGGACTAAACCAGGACTAAACCAGAACTAAACCAGGACCAGAACTAAACCAGGACTAAACCAGAACTAAAACCAGGACTAAACCAGGACTAAACCAGAACTAAACCAGACTAAACCAGGACTAAACCAGAACTAAACCAGACTAAACCAGAACTAAACCAGGACTAAACCAGGACTAAACCAGAACTAAACCAGAACTAAAACCAGGACTAAAACTGAACCAGAACTAAACCAGACTAAACCAGGACTAAACCAGACTAAACAGACTAAACCAGGACTAAACCAGGACTAAACCAGACTAAACCAGGACTAAACCAGAACTAAACCAGGACTAAACCAGAACTAAACCAGGACTGAACCAGGACTAAACCAGGATTAAAACAAGACTAAGTGTGGGGACGGGCCCGGAGTTGCGCCCGCGTAGACTGTCGGGTGACCAGGACTGAGACCAGGATAAGACCAGGACTAAAACAGGGACTAAGACCGAGATTTAGACGGGGACCAGACCGGGACAAGATTAGGACTGAGTCTAGGACTGAGACTGGGACCAGAGCAGGACTGAGACTGGTTCAGTCCTGGTTTAGTTTTGGCTTAGACCTGGTTTAGACCTGATTTAGTCCTGGTTTAGTCCTGGTTTAGACCTGGTTCAGTCATGGTTTAGTCCTGGTTTAGACCTGGTTTTAGTCCTGGTTTAGTCCTGGTTTAGATCTGGTTTAGACCTGGTTTAGACCTGGTTTAGTCCTGGTTTAGTCCATGGTTGATTCTTGGTTTAGTCCTGGTTCAGTCCTGGTTTAGTCCTGGTTTAGTCCTGGTTTAGTCCTGGTTCAGTCCTGGTTCAGTCCTGGTTTAGTCCTGGTTCAGTCCTGGTTCAGTCCTGGTTCAGTCCTGGTTCAGTCCTGTTCAGTCTGGTTCAGTCCTGTTCAGTCCTGGTTCAGTCCTGGTTCAGTCCTGGTTCAGTCCTGGTTTTAGTCCTGGTTCAGTCCTGGTTCAGTCCTGGTTTAGTCCTGGTTTAGTCCTGGTTTAGTCCTGGTTCAGTCCTGGTTTAGTCCTGGTTCAGTCCTGGTTCAGTCCTCGTTCAGTCCTGGTTCAGTCCTGGTTCAGTCCTGGTTTAGTCCTGGTTTCAGTCCTGGTTCAGTCCTGGTTCAGTCCTGGTTCAGTCCTGGTTCAGTCCTGGTTTAGTCCTGGTTTAGTCTCTTATCTGTTTTTTCATTTTGGTTTTGGAGACAAATAATGAAGAAACTGTTTTTTTTTTTTGTTTTTTTTTCGTTTTCTTATTTTTGGATTTATTTTTAAAAACAAAAGAACCAACGACACACAGATTCTTCTCGCTCTGAGTCTCTGTGTTTGACTCGGGGATTGAACCACCAACTTTAGGGTTTTTGCCTTTAGCCTAATAAAGTATTTTAACATTTTTTGTTGATTTAATGTGTTTAAAGTTCATGAAAATCCCCAAAACAAGTCCTGGTTTAGTCCTGGTTTAGTCTCAGTTTAATCCTGGTTTAGATCTGGTATAGTCCTGGTTTACTCCCGGTTTA